CTTAACATAAATTATTATTATTATTATTGCATTGCAGTGCTTAAAACGGATATGATATCATGGAGAGAACCTGGATCTTTTGGATCCAAAAACATAAATTATCTAAACAATTATGAGGTAATGTTGGGATTCCCGACTGAAAGCGGCCTGCCGTTCATCTACACTTTAAGTTTAGCGAACTTAATGAGAATTAACGGTGACGCATCTCATAATATGAAACCTGACAATATAGAAGTAACGGTGGCGGGCCATTTATTATACAAAGAAAGGATCCAAAGCAGAATTGGTGTTGTAACACCTTTCGAGCACAGGCATTACATCGCGGGTATCGATACCAATACGCAGTTCTTCATACCATGTAGTGCACGCGTTGCAATGATCGAAGCAAAAAGATTTGAGTTGAAAATACACCCGGACGAAATATATAAATACGGCACCGGACATATCGGGATTCACCATAGCAGCCATCCTTACACCGCGCGACACGATATTCTCGAATTTCAACCTGTAATTCTCAGCAATGACACACGCATAATGCACACGGCCGAACCGCACACAATAAATGTCGCGGCAGGTGACGTGATAATCGTGGCAACAGCCGATGATTTTGACGATTCGAAGGATACGTCATTTGAGGAGATGCAAGAGATTTGGAATGCATTTAAATTCAACTCTGGAGGAGCTCGTTACAGGAACTTCAGTTCAATCATATTTATCAGGCCAGCAGAAGTAAACATAACTCTGCATGCCATGATAATTAATCCCGACAAGCTGGACCTTGAACCCACGGAAGAAGCGATCCCTGCAATAACTGACAAACAAACAGACAGCGAGGAAAGAAGGGACCAGTTTTTAAGAGAAGTTTCCAGAGATATAAATTCTCCTGTTGCATATATTTTCGACTTAGGTTTTGCTTCTGAAAGTAGTAAACAAGTTTACACTCTTGCTACGAGTCAAAGCAATGTAGATGAAAAGTATCAAGCTCTTTTCTATTGGAATATCCAAACACCAGAGGAGGGAGAAGTCTACGCGGAGGTTTGCGGTGCTGGACAATTGCAAGTATCACCGAGCAATCCTCTGAACTTTGAAAAAGCAATCGAGCAAATACCGAAAGATGAGTTTAGCGCTGAACTGCGATTTGGTAGCTGCACGAATGGAGAAAGGATTAAACTCAAAGGAAATTTGACTCGTACTGACAGAGCCAAAGAAACGGCGATGAAATCCGAGGTAATCGCTAAATGTCGGCAAGAAATGGCACAAGGTAACAAAGGACTGCTGGCTTGTCAAGAAGCCATCGAATTACTCGAAGAGAGAGATCGTCTGATGGTATCAATGGAAATGAAGTCGAATCGTCTCAGTATGCTTGTGAACAATGCTATCTTCTCGATCAAGACGATTCTCCCCGACGAAAATGTGAAGATGCTGAGCCCGGGAGATGTTAAAGAGAATACTATTGATATGGAGATAAATGTACCATCCAAAAGCAATAATGGAAAAATTTCTTTACGCACCTCAGAAGTAGGTGTTACATTCTCTTTAGCAGACGCTGTCAAGAATATTCCAGAGCAAAAACAAAAAGAAAACTGTAAGTTATAAAACTTTATAAAAAATAGATTCAATAGTAAATAATGTAAGTAGAAAATAATTAGTGGCACTGATGGCACATGTCACTCAAAACAAAATAATGCTCGAATCATCGAACAAACTGATAATCCGAGCATCATTTTATAATTATGATTATATTTAATCTTTAATATCTTCTCAATTTGTTGTTGATAATAATTCTTATTGATAATAATATGTTGGATAAAACGTTTTAGAAGTTATTTATAATATACAGCATTATCCAAAATTATTTTTTACAGTTTTGTGCACTCTCGACAAAACCAAGGCTGCTACTTTTGATGATAATGTTTATCCGTTGAAACTAGGAAAATGTTGGCACGTGATGATGACCACTTTTCCAAAGCGAAATCCTAATAATCCTGAAAAGCTATTGACTATTCCGGAAAATTCACAAGTGCTTATCAAGGTCCGTGAAATGGATGACGGCAGCAAAGAAGTCAAGATGATCTTCGGTTGCAAGGAAATATATCTGCGAAAAAGAGATGATCGTCTCGAAGTCACAGTTGACGGAAAAACAGAGGAGTTTTCGCAACATAAGAGCTATGCGGATGACGATAATACCTTCGAAATTTACGAGTTACACGATGGATCGATTAATGTTTACTCCGAGAAACATAAAATCAATGCTATATATGACGGAGAACGTATCCAAGTTGAGGTAAGTACGAAGATAAAACAAGTTGCGTGACGGAATGCATTGTAATAATATTATTATGCAGTATATGAAATATAAATATTATATAAATGTTACGTATTTGTTGTTAGGCACACAGAAAATATCGCAATTCCATACGTGGCCTCTGCGGTAACTACGATTTGAGGTCCGACAATGATTTTATTATACCAAAGAACTGCGTCCTGACAAGACCCGAAGAATTTACCGCATCATACATCTTGATTGACGAGGAATGTCAAGGATCTGTTTTGGAAAACAAACGAAAAGCCGAAAAATCCACATGCATTGCGAAATCATATCGTCCGAGCGACGTTATTAGCGACAGAGAAGCGGGAAGAGCACCGAGCAAAAATAAATGGGGCTATCATTAGCCGAAATATTATTAATCAAAAGAAAAGTGCTGAAATAATTGTATTGTTTCTTTCACAGGATTAGCAAATTTTGTGAGTCTGTTAAATATTTGTTAAAAATATTTATTTTGTTAAAATATTTGTTAAAAAAATTTATTTATACAACAAAAAAATTTCTTACTAATTAAAGTGCAAAGATTTTAAAAGAATTTTCAAGAAAATTATCTTTAAGTTGAAAATTTTCAATGTCCTTATATCGTTAACTATTTTATTTGTATATTTATTTATATTTTTATACGAATATATTTTTTACTAATTATAATCATATAAATGAGGATAAAATTAAGTATTTTCGATAATATCGAAAGTGATCGTTTTTTTATAGACATAATATATCTGTGATCAAATATCGAAAACATTTAGCTATCCAAATTTTAATTTAAAATTAATTAAATCACAATTAAATTTTGTTAATAAATAAACATTTTCGTCTAAAATTAAATCTTTTCTGCTTGTTTGAATATATAATTTTAAAAGATAAGATTATGGATTGGACAATTTAAGCGAAGTCGATTCAATTGGCAATCCATTTTGTTAATAGTTTCATATAATTTTCTTGAGTGTATAAATGTGAGATTTTGATGAATGCATCTTCCGGAATATTTATTTTTATGTTGATAACCCAAACGTTTACTTTTTACAATATTTCTACTTTCCTCTTTGAAATGCTGATCTACTGAAGCTACAGAAAAAAACGTATATTTTAATTAAATTAAGAAAAAACGGTATGTTCTGTGTACATAAAATTAGAATAGTGAAATGTTTACATCATAAAAATTAAAGAGTACATAATTAATTTAATACATTAATCAACTATACTTCTGAAAATGGATGCGTTTTCGGCTTGCAAACTCTTCTCAAATTCACGAATTTCTTTTTCGCATTTTTCAAAGTAAGTACCGCGAAAGATCAAAGAAGGTTTACGATCGATCTGACAATCTTTGCAGACAAATCTTGCTTTTGGACTATATCGATCATATTCGAGGCACTTTAGCATTTCTTCAATGTACACGAAGCGAGTTCTGTCAATTTTTGTAATGACGCCTGGACGGCACTTTGTCCTTAATAAATGATGCAGCTTTAGGGATATAATGTAGCCATATTTAGATATTAAATTACATGATAAATTATAATATATATCTGCAAAGATTAAGCGTTAGTATTCAGCTTCATTATTTTACTTTGAACAAGATGAACAAAATCCAGAGCATCGCTTTTTGTTCCGTGACATTTTCCGCATGCTCAAGTTCTTCCTGTCTGTATCTATAAAAAAATAGCGCGTTAATAACCTTGCACGCAATGGAGCATATATGTGAACATACTTCTTCATATTTTCTAAAGTTTCGTTGTTCTTCGTATAAACATTCTTCAACCATCGCTGCAACTGCACGAAGTTCATCTGTGTTTTTCTGGTCCAATAGCCTCTCCAAACAGCTTGGATCCTTATTGCCATACTATTATAATAATCCTGCCACATCTGTTGAACACGTTCGGCCAAATATCGATTAATGAACATTCTGGCACGGTAACCGCGCCAATAGCGTTGCACAATCGTTGCGTATTCGTGGAGTTTACGAAGATAATTGCGGGTAATGATGCCACGGAACCAAGCCTGTTAGAAACTTCAAATAAATATCCATTGCAATGATGCAGTCGAATTATGACTAACCTGGATTTTACGAGCCGCGATAAAGAGTGCAAGTTTCGACGATTCAGCCAAATCATGTCTAATTTTAATAGCATTCCTCAGTTCAACAGGATTAACCGCGAATCTTAACAGCGATGCCATTCTTTTACTTATTTAGAAATCGCTTTTATATAGATATAAATTCAGAAATTATAATGTATTTATACAATACATTTTTCTACTCTTAAAAAAGACATATTAAGTTTATATTTGTTCTAGTTGTAGCAATCTTTTTTTGAAATACTAATTGATTACTTTGATTTATGTAGATCATAATACGTTACGTTACTCCGTATCGTAATGCATGTTATTTGCATTAAAATCTCTTTTCCACGATATTAAATAGCTTTCTCACTTTGCTTACTTCATATTGTAAAAATAATAGTCAGTGTAAAGATTATATGTGTTTTGACAATTTATCAAATGTCAAGCAAGTTAATAGTTGCACAAAAATAATTGTATTATTTCTCCTGATTCCCATTGGATCAATTTTATGTATGACTTAGTATTGACTTATAGATATATCTAGATATAATTTGATATTTTGCAATACAAGCAAATATATTTGGAGAGATCGGAGGAAATTAATAATTATACGAGCAATTTTATATTTTTATACAAGAGTATTTTATTACTCGTCGCGAAGTATTTTGACAGTTGTATATCAAGAGGGTTATGAGTATAATTGTAATAATGTAATAGTATTAATTGCAATTTAAGTACTTTAATTTGCTTTTACATAAACGGAACCTTCTTTATTCTTTTGCTTTTACATAAACGGAACCTTCTTTATTCTTTTTGGGTGTATTCAAAATTGTTTCAGATGAATTTTATAAAACGTTCTTGTTAACCATTATTGATAAAGATTATTAATACTTAAAAAGTTTATAAATCGATGAACAAAAATAAAATCAAAAGTGGAAAGAAAAATATTAAACGCGAAACGTGCATTCAATAGTACTAATTTACAAAATATTTTATAAAAAATTGTTTATAAAAAATTTTATAAAAATTATACAATTTTTAAAATATTAAAATTATTATTTATGTATCTTGTCGAGTTTACAAGATTCTTGCACACACACACACACACACACTACACACACACACACACACACACACACACACACACACACACATATATATTATATATATATACGGATTGTATGAAAAGTTTATCAGGTCTTTTTCGTTCGAATAATCATTAATGTATTATGTGTACAAGAATTGCAATAAACTTCAAACCAGCATATCAAAAGGAATGCTACTAATATCAACAGAAAAGCTGATGTTCCCATCACAATCATCAAGGTATTGTTCTTCTTTTGCCGAGTCCTTGACACTACGTGGAAGTCTCGCGACTGCAATAAGAATATTCACAAGTATTATGTATTGCAGCGAATGACGATTACCATAATTTTATCGAGGTCAACAAGTTGCGCGACTCTGCGTTCAAGATTAATTAATTTTTTTTGCTATAGCAGTTTATAATTAGATTTACAGTGCTGCGTTATATGATCATAATTATTCGGTGCAACGACGTTTCTCATTTTGAACATTATAAATACGTAGAAAGTTAAGTGAGTTATATCAGCAATTAAATATGAAATTTGTGAATATGAATATGTGAATTATTGATACGAATTGGCTCGAACTTTTAATTAACTCAAGTATATTAATGGAAAATTATTATTATTATGCCGCGATTGTTACAATTTACGTGCTTGATTGATGTTTCATATTTCATGTCTATAAATCTGCCAATATTGCCAATATTAATGAAAATAAGTAGAGAAAGGAAGATAAAAATATATATCTAAATAGATCCAGATTTTCTCACCGAAATTTCAAGGTTCTGTGTTTTTCGGATAAGTTCGTCCAATTTCTGGCCTCTATCAATCAATTTTTGGACTCCATTCATTAATACGCAACGTACTTCAGTCAATTCTTCCTCTAATTTTGAGGTCAGATTCTTACAATCAATACCCTGATTATATTCTTCCTGAAATAATATCAATTCCATTCTTTATATATGTATCAATATTTTTATATAATTTATCTATATCTATAATATGTATACATACAATATATAAAACGGGCAATGTTATTTATTTTAAAAAAGAAGCTAATAAAATATAAAATAATAAATTTATTATTATTAATTGTCAAAATAAGTAAAAAAGTTTGAGCGTATTAAAAATATACCGCTTTTTTTTAGCTTTCTTTTGTAATTATAATAATGTAAAATTTTTATGAAAAGGTTATTGTGTTATCCTTTTTCCTTTTATAAAATTATTTTCTCACTTACAGTCATTTTCTTCAACGGTTTCGACAGATCATTTTTCGCGACATTCAGATTTCTTGATAGATATACCATCGGTAAGTCTTTATAGACACTTCGTAATCTATGCAAAAATATTTGAGAGCAAGATTCTTGCCACATTGCTGATGAAGGACAATCCGCTTTTAATGTTAAACAGAGATAGTAAAATTCCCCAATTAACATGTGTACCGTATATCTATGGAAGAATTATTTTTTTATACTCATTGCAGCGTGAATAAAAGAGTAATGAAGCAGCATTAATCTTATCGTGCGTTAATTAATCCATTGCAACCTATTACACTCATTTAACGATTGAAGCGAGTTGCCATAACAAGAAAAATTGTTAATGTAATCGCAACATGATTTATCGCATAATTTAACACATTTCCTCTGAAAAACAAGTTTGGCATATAAAATGCAAAGCCTTGCCACTAGAAATGCATAACTCTGATTACGTTATTTGATTACGCTCTTTGATTACGTATTATTTTCAAATTGAAGCCACCATATTTTTTTATATTATAATACTTCGGAGGCTCTTACCTATTCCGATCGATACTGATTTTGTCATCCTCGACTGTTCTCATGCCGTCGATCGTACCGAGAGTGATAGCGCGATAGATCGGATTTGGATCCACAGAATAATCGGCGACGATCTTGCAGCCAGATTTCTCCCACAAGGCCACCATAACATAATACACAGTTCCGTTCATTTCGGCCAAAAATGTACAATATTGGTTGAGACCGAATGATGGGCGGGTTGTCTGTCCGATTGTGTAGTCTGTCAGACTATGTATAAGCATTCGCAGATGCCAGAGGCCGTAAACATCAACTTTGCTGGTTGTTTATGCCGATTCTGATAGCCCAGTAACGAAAGAAGTTTTGATAAAGCCGATAACAACACGTACATGTGTGCTTCATATGTGTTACATTACCGCAAGTGTTGTCTCCAAGAGGCGAACATGTATTGATCGACTGATCTTCGTCACTTACAGAACTGTCGAATGTTTGCTGAATGTTTCATAGAATTTAACTGATAGTTAATTACACAAATTGCTAACGAAAGCACATTGTTGTTCGTATATATGTATTTAAGAAAAATTTAAACCTGTAAAAAAAATATTTATAATATCATTGTACATATATTTATATATACATGCATACGTACGTACACAATATATCTATAAATAAAAAAAATTTATTATTTTATTATGACGTATATTTAATTATGCACAGTTTGTTCGTTGATCTTTATTTTCTTGTTTATTCCGGTTTATTCCGATTACAAATTGATAATATGATATAGTAATCTTTGAAATATTTAATATTTATGAACATAAAACATGAATGTAATAGCATTTTTGACTCTCCTGGTATTCATTAATTCTGTATGAATTTATTAAAAATTACACAAATGTTAAACTTTACTTTTTCAATAGCGCTTATCCTGTGTTTATATCCACTTCTGTCTTCTGTTTGATGTTTACAAAAAAAAAAACACACAAAAAATAAAATATCAATGGAGCTCAAATCTATTTTTATTCACTTTTATTTTTATCGTAATAATTATGTATTACCTCTTTCAATTAATTACCTTTTAAACAAAAATTATTATGACATTATCCACAGTATGATTATTCCACGTATATTTTCAGAAAAAACGTATATTTGCTCCATCTGGATTTGCATAGTTATGATGCATAATTAAAATAGTTATCAGTAGCAGAGCTATCGATAAAGTAATAAAACTCAATGAAGCTTGAAATAAATGTCGATGTGTTGAATCGTTCTTTGTTGTATCGTGTGAATAAAAAAACGTATGAATTATACTTTTGTATTTGCATTCGTATGCTTAGATATTCTTCGCTGGTAGTACTACAGAATAAAATAGTATCTCGAAGAATATTAACTTTAGATTTCCAAAAACATAGATTCGTCATATAATACATCCTCGTATAGATACCATAATACATCCTTATACAGATGCTGTAACAGAGATGTAAGAGATACACCGTATATATTTCTATGCAACTCTCTCAGGACTCTCACAGGATTCAAACCGATTCTCGCAAGAACTTCAAAGAAATCTTGTATACAAATGAACTTCTCATTTGCTATTCTTTGTAAATATTTGACAAAAAAGCAATATTCGTTTTAAATTAGTTTTAACAGTTATGTCAAATTTTATTTATTTGTATCAATTTAAATAAAAATTGCGCGCGGATTATATTAAATATCATTAAACAACATTCTGTGAATATTTCTTCCCTTCTTCGTTTAATGTATAAGTTTAAAAAAATAGTTCGGAAAACATTTCCGATTATAGCAAACATTATAACATTAATCTCTTTGTGAAGGATTCAGAAATCTTTACTACAAATTCTCAATAATAGTTTTAACTACATGACGGAAGCGTCTAGTAACGTCGTTGTAGTAAAAAAACCAGACAGAATTTGTGTCTATGTACTTTTAAAATATAGTTTCTTCCCGAAGGGGAGAGCGATTGACTGAATGTCAGGCTGCAGGAATCGCTCCGCGCTTATTTGCAAATTCCATTCAGTCTGTTCTAGGCAGAAGTGAAACAGCGCTCGTGAGCGACGCTGCAAACCGCAAGTGGAATTATCGCCCGTAGTTCCCTTGAGACATGACAAAAGCTATTGATTTGACGTCGAGCTGAGGGAAAAATAAAATTCAGAACACTGTCAATCTGTTACCTGAACGATTCGCCATTGTCGAACATTCCAACCGAGTTTACGATACATGCCATGCGAGATTAATCAATTCTCAAAAAAAAAAGGCATGAGATTGTACAGTTTGCACATTTTCACTTGATACAAATATATATTCCACCGTATTGAATATGTAGAGCGGGAAAAAATTTAATCCGATTAAAATCTGAAATAAATTTCCTCTGCGAATGTTTCCAGAAACGGAAAAATAAAAATATCAATCAGCCATCAATGTGCAGAAATTCTCGTTTTAATCACAAGTCGTTTCACTACTTTGCGGTGCTCAGATCGCGGAACCACATATGCCCTAATACATGAAAAATAGATTGAAATTCTTTAAATTAACAAACTGAAATCTCTTGTAAAAAATTTTTATCTCGCATCAGACATTGTAATTTTTCATGAATATTTGAAATGATATCATTATTAATTAGAAATATGTTTTGTATGTGTATATATGTGTACATACCACACACACACACACACACACACACACACACACACACACACACACACACACACACACACACACACACACACACACACACACACACACACACACACACACACACACACACACACACACACACACACCTAGTTAGAGAGTTACAATATTCCTGTTAAAGAAACGAGAGTTACAATATTCCTGTTAAAGAAACGATGATCAGCGGCCGCTAATTTATTAAATTTTGCGAAAAGATAATCACTGTGAAAAAAATATAAAAAATATTCCGGCTCAGGCGATTACATGAAGAATGAGTTTTGCTTTATTTTTATAAATCAGTCGCATGCAGATATTCAATAAAATTTATTTTTTATTTCAACCATTAATTCACAATTTTGAACATTCGGTCGCTGATGATGGAAATACGTGACTCTCAATTCGCTATTATTAATCAACTTCTCAATTTTCCAACAGTATTTTTTTCTGTATAAATATTTTTCTATGAACATTTTTTGCTGATTTGCAATCCGAATGGAGTCTACATTTGTCACTTAATCGATATCTGTCAGATACATCACGTAACATGCAAAATTTTTCCAATGTGGCTTACCGAAATTGACACGTTGGACTTCGCACTGCGGCTGGACCGTTTCGAACAGAAGAGACGTATATGAAATATGACTTTGTGGCTCAGTTCATCGAAACAAGAAAATGCTTTTTTTGCATAGACTAGCTTGTAAAACCAGTAACTTTCAGTGCATGCAAAATGTCAATCAAATTATAAATTACATTGAAATAAGAAATAATTCTTTCGCAATAAAATAAGATCTAAATCGCAAGATAAAAATTTTAATGTTCTTATTCTTATTATTGGTTTATATCTAAAATTTATATGTGTGTATTTTTATATATTCCATTCTTCCTATAAAATATCTGCCGAAATTCTTTTTTAAGAGATAAATGCTAAATATCTAGCTATTTTAATAACAATATATGACTTCTGAATTTTAAACAAACACTATTCAAAGAAGTTATAGCATGTTTAGTTAATAAATTGTATTTTGATAAATAATGAGCTTACTTTGATAAAAAAAAGAATTGCAGGTTTTAAAAATATAAGAGAATAAATAAGAGACTGAAATATTAATATGTAGGTAATTAGCATTTTTCCTAGAAATCGTTTTTTATTATTCTGACAGTATATAAATAATTTTTTTGTTATTGTTTTTTGTTAGAAAAATATACAAAATATGTGTTTATAAATGTAATTAAAAATATAAAAATAAAATGCTTATAAATGCTTATAAATGATTAATAATGGTTAATAAATAATCAGATCTTTTCAAATAATTTTTTTAGTTAAAATCTTGTCAATCTTTTATTATTTAAGAATTTGTTATCAAATTAAAGATGCAGAAACATAAAAAGTTCAATTTCACTTACTCGTTAATAATTTTTCTTGCGCTTTTTATTTTTGTCATAAAAATTAGATTAATAATCACGCAAAAGATCACGTGTTTGTCAAACTTTGGAAAAAGACTATAAGGTAAAATAATTCTCTTCGTGATTTTCATTTTTTATATCTTTTTCTTCATTTATCTAGAAAGAAACTTTTTAATTCTCTTTTTTTTTAATTTTTGATTGTATTAAACGCGGAATTTGATAACACACGTGACAAATGGTCTTTTGTAGTAATCTAATAGCATCTATATGAGTAGGAACGATTTTTTATGCGAATAACGAGTGATGCACAAATGTTGCATCGCTGAAGTTCAAATAGCAAGCGATAACGGAAGGTTACCTTTACCAGCTGCCGTTTATACGGAATAACCAACGCAGGATAGAATCATAATATTTTACGATCTCTAATCATTGGTCTGTTCTACCGACATGCATGCGCATGCAAGATCGAACATAAGACTTGCATTATGATTGCGAAACTGATCTTTAGTCGTCGTAGAATATAAATAAAATTGATGGATCAGACAAATATTCGTTCAAGTAATACGTTTTATTTCGCTAAAGAGATGCTGTCTAGCAAAGAACACAAGAGAGATCAGAAATCTTATCCGTGTGCGTTAAAGAAGCTAGCACTTTCGCGAGCGGACGTCTTTGCTAAATCCTTTGCAGAATCCAATTTAATATTGACTAATTTAATACTAGAATTACTTATTTTGAGTATTAAAAGTATTGAACAATGGTGCTTTTAATACTCAAAATAAGTAATTGATCACTAGCATTAATCTTCACTAGCATTAGATTTCCTTCCATTAAAATTTATTAGAGATGAAACTAAAAACTTAGATAACAATTTGTTCCGCTCCTTTTTATCAAATTATATCCGTCAAACAGTAGTGTTAAGCTTGTTTTTTAAATAAAATATTTTTGTTTCCGCATCTATATCATTAATGATATAATAAATATAATTGTACAATTCGCATCTTATATCAGGGAGATTACGACAAAACTCTATCTTAAAAATCGATTACTTCGTCGAGTAGTACTTTTATTATTTACGTCTCTTATAGAATGATTAATTTTATGATCTAATATTATTTTATGATCTAAGAAAATTTAAGCATATCAAATATAATAGCTAATATATACTAATATATAATAGTTATGTTTGTCTTTTTTCTGAAAAAAAAAAAGAAAGAAAAACGAAAAGCTGATAAACTACCGTGTGAGTCACACATTTTTCCTTGTCTTATCACGTTCTGTATATGCAAAAGCCATATACATACATTAGGAAACTTAATGTATGAATGTATACATGTTCATCATACTTAATTATTTACGTTAAATAATCTAAGTAAATATATTTTCTAAAATAGGCCTTTTCATTCCTCGAGCTCTGAAATAATTTTTTCCTATGAAAAAAACATTTTTTTTTATTTCGAATGTGAGAAGTGCGGCACGGAGTTTAATCGCCCGAGATCGTAAAGAGATCGACGAGAAAGAGGAAAAGAGACAAAGAGATTCCCGCGGTCGGTGGCGCCTCCGCTACTCCGTCGCGACCGGCGGGCGCTCGGGTGGCGGCAGCTGGTGGCGGAGCGGCCAATCGGCTGTCTCGAATGATCGCTGCGCGCGGCGGACTGCGCGACCGTCCTCCTGTCCGAGGAGCCGTCAGTGTGCGCGCCGCGGAGAAGCAGAGAGACAGACATCTTGTAGATAAAATTTAGCGGCGTGGTGCCTCGACCGCGAGTGTCGGTGTTCGCGGTTACGTGTCACGGTACTTCGTGTCGTTACGGTGTCTCGGTCCACGTCGCCGGTCTCGTCATTATCATTGTTGTCGTTGTCTTCATCGTCGTTGCCGCCACCGTTGTCGCCGCCGCCGCCGCCACCGCCGCCGTCGTCGTAATCATACTCCACGTCGTCTTCGCTGCTGCCTTTACTACCGTTGGCTCGATCGTCACCGTCCTCGTTCTCAACTACTGCCTGTATTTGTGGTGCGGTGTCGTGCTTACAGGAAGACTCGCTTGCTTCGACTCGGAGCAGCTTCGTTCCTGTCACAATCGAACTGTCGCCGTCGCCAT